ATAACACAATGAGTTCACTGTACGCGTAAAACCAATAGTTTCAACGAATAGTGTTCAAAATATATTGCAGACAATTTTACTCGTCTCCGGAGCGTCTCGCTCGGCTACAGGACCCGGGTGTACCTGAGGTTTAATATTGTATCGTTATGCAAGCACAACCGACGATTGGTTTCACTAATGTATGCGTCGTTTCGATCACACCGTGTTCATTCTTATCAGAATATTGTGCACTAGCTGTTTTTGTACGAGTAATCGTTCGTGTCTATTGTTTTTGAGGCGCCGACATGATGTACCGAGTAGGATTCCGTGGGCCGTGGGTAATAACGATAATACAGTGTAATCGCACAACCGGAAGAGGGAAGAAATAATAACAGGTAATTTCAGCGTTAGGCGTTGAAATAATTACAGTGCAATAGCGGTCAGGTGTGTAATATAGGTAGATACCGGCGAAGACGGTTTTTTCGATCGGATAACAGAATGTATACATATTATTATTATAATGCATTTATATGTATGTATTCTAAGAGAGAATAAACATCCGATTATCGAAATAAAAATACAATTACATGTTGTCCTTCCTTTTGTTCTAAGTCTAAGACCAAACCAAGCGGCAAAACTCGGTGTTGACAATGCAGTGGTGGCAGTAAGTACTATATTGAAGTTGTATCGACGCAAATACACATTTTTCCGAATCTCGCCAAAATACCAATAAATCCGTTATGAACGTGTATTATGATTTCATAGAAATTTGCCATGGAATTTATCAAACAAAACGTTGTGACATTTTTTGAAGGTCACGGGACTTTAAAATCCTCACAGTATTATTTTAATTACGTATTATCAACCGAAACGGGTATAAAACTGCAGGATGAATAATGTTTCAACGTAATAATCTTTAATAGTTCAACCGTCGACGTTCAATGGGTTTCTTATCTACGACATTAACATTAATAAGTATGTCGATGGGATCTCAACAGTACCTTTATTATGTTTTACGTACCAAGTGCGGGATGAAAGTGTTAAATGTTTATGTGATGTAATCGTTCTTTTTGATAAATTAAGACGATGGTAAGAAGATAAACACTGATGTCGCGTCACAACACTAACGCACACTCGGGGTGATACACGCATGATCATCAACGTTCATTTGACATTTATTTCTCTAGGAACTGCCACGATAGAATTTAAGATAAAAAAATAAAAAAAACTACCATATTATCATGACGGAAATAATAAGTACGCAGTAGACCGTGTAATAGTCCATTATAAACGTGCAGGATCGGTGACAAGCCCATTTAGTATATTTATTAAAACAATAAGTCCGTTGTAATTATTTTAAATGCATAAGGCAATCTAACACGAAGATCAATTACTCTATGAAAACACTAAGAACATTTTATAATAACAATATGCTGTCTGATTTTTCCACTAACCTATGTCAGCTTTGTTCTACAACTACTACTCTTAATTAAAATGATTTTTGTTTGGAGCCTGTTATGCGTTATATACTCCTATTCTATACCTCTGTAATACTGTGTAAGTGATTAATAGATTAGTTTATATAATGGTTCGACTGATCCTGAATAAGTCGATCTATGCTGGTTCTGTTTGCATTTCCTGCATGTCGATTTTTTTATTGGTTATATTTTGCTTTAAACATCATCAACAACCGTTGTTGTTCATCGTCCCAATGTTTCGGGTAGCGTAACTCAACGTTTCCAAATAAACTAGCACAACTCGACTTGACCGAAAGATTGTTTTAGAGTGCATGATACAGCCTGCTCCGAACGCGTTTTAAACGAGCGCAAGTCACGTAATATAATTACCGTTCACGGAAATGCATTTGTCTCTCGGTGGGACTATTTTCCTTTCGAAGATTATCATATACTGTACGCGGGATAATACGGACAACCCGTCGGAATATTTTCTCTGTTGCTATACACTGCAACAACGAGTTAGATTTTATCCTTATTTTGTCGTACAGTGAAAACGCACGACCATAAAACTACACGCGTTCGCAGGGCGTTGGCCTATCGTCGTGTTGTATTGTACGGGTAGGACCGACGACGGGTTGAATGTTTAGGTGGATATGGCGCGTGAAATATGCGTTATGATGCTCGCGAGTATTCGCGTTGCAAACGGGCGTGGTGACGAAAAGACGACGGATGTACAATGATATTACTGTAGTAATTCTTCTTCTTGGCGTATCAACTCTTTGAGGGTTTTGGCCGCCACCACAACATCGCGCCGTAATATTGTAATAACGCTATCGTTAAAACAAAGTTATATATATATACATTTATGTGTATCAAATAAATAATTTATTGAAATAAACGTCAAACAATATGTTAATAATAACGCACAACTAAATATATGCGAATCTTACGTAATAATAAACATTACAATACATAAAAATGAAAATCTCACGAGACACGTCGTGGACGATTTCACACGAACACACACACCGGTACACAAGGCGATGCGACGACGATTAAGAACAATATTTCGATGTCAATAACATGCCAATAATAATAATGATAATAACAATTATAATTGGACTGCGATGTGGTCGGGACGAAAAGTCCTACGGAGCACGCGCTCCTGCGATGCGTAAAATACGCGTACACCGGAAAAACGTCGCGTGCGGACAAGGCGACAGCAAACGTACCGTAGACACAAAAACGTGCACTTAAGTGCGCATTGAATTGCGTTATCCTTGCCGCCTCCGTTGACGTTTTTGTTTCAAAACCATGACAGGCCAAAGCCGACGCATAATTTGCGCACGAAATCCTCTCGACCGAGTGCAACCAGCACTAACCCGAATAATCTATTACAACGCCCGTTCTAGCTGAAACCATAAGCGCTACAACGATACAAAACCAAACATTACACTTTAAACGGCTGCAATATTTTGAAACGTTCGCAGCAAATCGTTTCGTCGAACGACTGTTTTGCAATCGTACCCATGGAAGTCAAATGTTAAAAAGTTATTTTTCCGGCCGAGGGAAGAAAACGCTGATTTGATATAATATTTTTCGTACGCAGGGCTCACTACTGTAGAATCAACGTTTTCGGAGATAATCCCTGTGACGGGCATGTAGAATGCCTCGTGCGACAGCAATAACGTTCATACGCGTGCAATAATCTGATTCCGATGCGAGGGGGAGGGTATTTTTTCGCGTGAAAGATAACCGTTGGCACGTGTACTCTCTCGGTCGTGACGTCCCTTCGGTCATTTGTTCGTCCGGGTTCTAAGCCAAAATTAGGCGAATCAATTAACCGCGAAAACAAAAATCGAAAGTATTAAAACGAGAACAGTATAACGCTGGAGAACAATCAGAGATAAAAAAAATGTACAAGGACTGTGCTAAATGACTTAATTCGTTAATTACAAATTATAATACTAATGATAACAAGAACATTGTAAATTGTATAGCATATAATTTTTCATTAAATGCCTATTTTTTTTTTTTTCAAAAATTATTATCACTGAATGCTTAATCGTATATTTTTGCTCGGAGGACGCGTTTCGGCGCTCGGGAAACCGTTCAGGAGATCGGAAACGACGAATAATCCCGTCCGAAGTTCCGAGGCCGTCTTATGTTACGCGCGCGCTCGTCGCACACGTGTAAAACTGACATTGTCGCAAAAACGGTAACAACACCGAACGGCAGAGGACCGTTCGGTGCCAAATGGTGATCGTCGCACGGCCTACGATTTTTTGCGTAACCGTCCGAACGGGATCACGTTTTTTTTTTTTCCTGAAAATTTTATAATTAAATATAATATTAATTAAATAATTTTTCCCAACGGTCCAACGGTGTCACGCGCACAATTATTTTAATAGATTTGCATACGCGTACGGTTCGTGGGTTTCAGCGACACCGACGATCGGGCGCAGCGGGTGCGAATCACGGAGCACCAAATCGTGCGAAATTCGTACTTAGATTTTAGCTTCCAAATGAAAACCATCTGTTATACTTTTTAAAACGTATAGACTTTGTCTAATTGTACATTTAACTAAGAAATGATGAAAACTAGTGAACTCGTATAGGAAATATCACACGAAGATATTATCGATGAGTTCACCAGCTTTAAAGCGAGAATAGCAAACTTTTAAAATTTAAAAAGTGCACTATAATAATAACTTATAAATATAAATCGTATTTTTTAAAAAAAATCGCTAAGATTAAGGATTAAAAAATAAAAATTTTGTCACACCAAATTCTTAATTGGTTAAAAAGCGTTTTCTTCTACATTTTCTAGAGGCGTTGGTGAATCTTCCTACGCCACTGAATGGGCGGCGGAAAGGTGGCGGTAGTGTTTCGATGACTTTTGCGTTTTCTCTCGGTCGCGTGTCAGTCCACGAACGGACCGATAACAGTCTTACGCGCGCGCGCCAGACGGTAATGGTTTTCGCGTGCGACGTCACCGGTACACGAACAATACGTCGCACGCGAAAAACGGATCGAACGACGGGGAACTAGTACGATCGGTTTTGTTCTTCTGGTCGAAACGACATCGTCCCGCAAGTGGACTATATTTTCGTGGTGCGCAAGACCAATACGTTGGCCATCGTCAGGGGACCGGGGAGGGCTGGAACCCGTGATCGTGATGTTCAACGTAGGGCAGTCGAAACGAACAACACGTCTGATAAATCGGTCAAGCTTTTTCGGGCCGAATCCGAGTAGAGTACGAGGAACTCGAATTCGTTTATAAATCTGAACCGTTTTAACCCGATTTATGAAGGAAAAAAAAAAGTAATTAACAAACGTATATAAACCAACGGCTTTACGGTCGTCGTTGTATTATTGATCGAAAAAAAAAAAAAAAAAAACGAATCACCGTGGTGGGTTTGAGAGGGATGGCCAGTCTGAACCCGGTCAACATATCATTTGTCGGGAAATCTTTCGCGTCGACCGGTTTCCCGGTGGATGACCGTGGTTACCGTGCGCGACCACGAGCACACGTAAAATAACGGTAATTTTCGTCGGTTGCAGGAGAATGTTCCCGACGGTCCGGGTGTCGTTCGCAGGGCTCCGAGCCGACCAGCGGTACGCGGTGCTGATGGACATCGTGCCGGTGGACAACAAGCGGTACCGGTACGCGTACCACCGTTCGTCGTGGTTGGTCGCGGGCAAGGCGGACCCGCCCGCGCCGCACCGGCTGTACACGCATCCCGACTCGCCGTTCACCGGGGACCAACTGCGCAAACAGGTGGTGTCCTTCGAGAAGGTCAAGCTCACCAACAACGAGATGGACAAACACGGACACGTAAGAATCGGCCCACATAACCTTCGACCCCGTCATCGTGTCCCGACTAACCCGGACTGCTGATCGCCGCTTTTTACCAGAAATCAGTTTTATTTATTTTTTATTGTTCTTATTTTCAACCGAATATAGTGCACCGGGGGAATACCTGCCGGTTTTTTGGATCTTCTAAAAGCGTTTATTATCGTAGGATACCTCTTTCACGATCCCGTTGAAATAATTCTTCGAACTTAACGCGTCCCACAGACAGGGATGGTTTTTGGAAAAAAAAAAAAAAAAATGTAAAAAGTAAATATTTTCTTTCCTGTACCACATTAAATCGTTCGTGGTGATGAATTATTTTAACAATGCAAATATGAAAAAAATCTAAAGACCGCGTGGTAATCCTCGCTGCTGGTAGTGGAAACAGTGGTCGTCCGACTGCATGGCCGGCCGGTCCATTGATCGCCGTTGCCAAAAGTTGAACTCGTCCAACCTAAGGCGTATTCACGTTGATCAAATTATACCGTTCGATCCGATATAATCCGTCGTCGATCAATGCTTCTTAAACCGTAATCCTTGAACCACTGATGGATCTTGAACCAAACATTTGGTTTATCTCGAAAATGTTACCGTTTTTTTTTTTCACAGTATAAACCAAAACATTATGAATACCGAAAATTAACAGGAAAACAACCAAGCGCGGTATAATTTTCCCTATAACATATGTATTTCTCTTGTAGAACCGTGTAGGTTTCAATAGATTTTGGACGAAGATAATTCCAGTACGGGTGCTACAAGCGAATCGATACGCTTATCACAACATTGCGCGGTCGAGCATTTTTTCGCAGCGTACTAATATGAATAATATTCGTCCCGTCGTTAGCAGGGTCTTTTTACCGTTTCGTAAATCACGCGAAACTGCAATATCGTAACGTTGGTGAACGATTAAAATATCAATTTTTTCGCCCCCCATTCTTTATTAACTCTAATCATTTGTTTATTTTTACATCGACACGACCTTTTTGTGCGGACAATTAAACGCGCCACCACATATGTTGTCTGTTGTGCACGACGCTGAGGAACAGTGGTTAGTCGTACCGCGTGCGTTTATAGGGCGCGCGCGAAATTAGCCGTGGAGGGCTGCATTATAATCCGTTCGGATGCGCCCTTTATTGTTTGTTAAACAAACATCGCGAAACGCCACGGTGGACCATTGGGAAACAGTCCGGAATATTTTTTGATTTTTTTTTTAACCTCCCGCCAGCCGTGTACCACAATAAAACATCATATCCCGCAATCGTACAAAACGATATTTGCATAAATTATACGCACACACGTCATGTATATCGTTATACCGCAATTATAATTTTAAACAATAACACAAACGGGGTGTCGCGCGCGCGCGTTGTACGACGTAGAAATCCTCCCCACGTATGAACGAACGCGGGAGGAAAATAAAAAACGCAAACCATTTACCCGCGGCCTACAGTCGCGCATACAGGACAGCGTGTTATTGAGGGAGTTGACCCCGGAGAAGTCTCATAAATTAGCGTATTCCTCCCCTGTGTAATATCGGTGCACTTATCTGTTGGTAAATTAATTTCGATCACATTTTTTGTTCAACGTTCGTGAACACAAACGACCGTCCTGCATATGCGATTTAATCCACCGTGTTAAATATCTAAATCCTACATGAAATATTGCTGACCGGACTAAATCCGGCAGCCCGGTGATGGACAAAGTCGGTATAATAATTAAATTTTCCAATAATAACAATGAAAACAACCGATTTGATAAGAAAAACTATACCTAAGTGTTTTTTTGGTCACTTCGAAAGTCATTTTTACTCCCTAAGAGAAATCACTGTGATTACTTTTGACAGTAATTTAGTGGATTCACAGTTATTTACAACCACGTGTCCTATTTCCAATCTCATCACACGCCGTTTAAGATTAACAGCGCACAATTTTATTATGTGCTTGTAAAAACAGATGATAATCGTTTTTAAATCGGTACATTTCTTCCGTCCGAATCGAAAACTATTACACTGCCATTCGGCGGTACGTTGATACGGTCACAAACAATTTTAGACGCCGAGTAATAGATTTCGATCGGTTATTCGGTTTTTTTCTTGTCGTATTTTCTCGATCGAAACCCTTCGGAGCGGAGCGATCCGAGGCCCTCGGTACGCGCTGATTCGATATCTAGTCTTGCCGCCCTGTTCAAAAACCGCGCGTGGTTTCAACGCGTCGCCCGTACGGTTGACGCGTCCGCAGACGGCGATTACGACAATACTTTTGCAATCGTGACGGTAAATAGCAACGGTGAAAAACGTTTTTTTTTTTTTTTTGTCACGCACAGTTGGTGTTGAACTCGATGCACAAGTACCAGCCCCGCATACACCTGGTGAAGAGACACGGCGAATCGATGACGGCCGGACATCCCGTCGTGGACCTGGAAACCGAGGAGTACAAAACGTTCGTGTACCCGGAGACGACGTTCACGGCCGTCACAGCGTACCAGAACCAGTTGGTGAGTAAACGCGCAAACGTATTCTTACAATCCGATCGTTTTTAAGGGCTTTAAATTGGGGGACGGGGTCAGGCAAGGTTAAACGCAAGGGATCTCGTCCCCTCTCGACTCTTGCAGTACTCGTGAAGGGTTTATCTTTAAACATTTCTCCGAAAAGTTTACCGAAACGCTCGACCGTTTGTCGAGAATAATCGTACACGATAGACCCGGTTGAAAAATTGGCTCCGAGGTTTACTCGATGTGTCGCTAGCCACATGAACAGTGTTTTGCAAACAAATTGCTGACGTACGTTAATTTGTAAATTATACACCGATTCATATGTATACTTATGTATGCGTTTTTTACGTTTGTTTTGATTTCAAGATACATATTTTAGCGGTATGATAATTTATAATTGATAATTAATACGTGGCACAATGCGCGTACTCCATTCCATTACAGCTATCACGATGTTACAATAACGTAGAAGTGTATTCACCGCCGCAAAAAAAGAACATCGATCGTTCGCTTCAGAACTAAATTATATTCGGTATTTTTATTTCATTTCCGTTCATCGGTACTTTTTCTTACGTTATTTTCTGCGAGTTGTAGCCGCTAAGGGGCTGGCACGAATCGTTGTAACACACCGAGCGCTCATCGCGGCTCGCGTACCTCGTACACGCGTACAATTAATATTAAAAATAAGTAGTATCGCGGTAATTGTAGGGCCAACAATACGGAACTTTCCGCAGGTCGTCGTTGTCCGTCATCGAATCGGCGTACACGCTCCAATGGCTTACCCGGTCCGAGTCGCCGTGTAACCGTACCGTTCATCCGAAACGCAACTCTCGAACCGGGCGGGGAGGCGAAAACGGTCGCGAAAAACGGTTAACGATTTATCACGGGGGCGGCGGACCGTTTGAAACAACCCCGTCGATCTCCGTCGATCTAGAGCCGCTGTTGCTCCGCTCGAACGGCGCACGTGTATTCTACACGCGCGCGTGTTCCGGTTGCGTTGCTGCATGTTCGTTCGTGCGACCGGCTCGTACGCGACGGCGGCGGCGGACGGGAGGTGACATTTCTTAAATTTTTATTTATTTTTTATTTTTAATCGTCCAGGACCGATTTAGTCCAATTAGGCTGCCGGTGCGTGTTCACGTGCACGTCCGACGGCGGAGGCCCGGGTCGTTCGCGCGATGGAAAAATAAACTGACCAGAAACGAAATAAATCGTACGCGGGCGTCGTCGCGCTGTTATGGATACGCGGTGCGCGGCACGTGCCGCGTCGTCCGAGCGAAGCGCGTAGTATATCATCGAGCTGGCCCGCCGGACGACTAAAATATAAATCTTATGGTCGAGCGTACCTCGTCGCCGTCACGATTCTTCTGCGACCCGACGCTGTTATTCCGGTCGAACACGCGCGCGACACACACGTCGTTGTCGCGTTCCTCCGCAGAGAACGTCGTCGCGCACGTAAACATATCTTACCTACGCGTTTCGCGTACGGAACCGAATGTCACGCTTAGAGTTCTACTCGGCGGTCCCGTCCGAACGCTATCGTCGGCATGTCCGTCACGGGCAACTCGGCCGTAATTATTTTGGCGCGGAGACTCGCGACGCTCCTCCGTTCGACTCCCGGCGAGGTTTTCGCGGTAGAACCTTGTACCCGCAACACGGACATTTGTCCTCGCGAAATCGAAAAGAAATATCACGTGAAGCCCACAAGAACGTAATATCAGTGAGCGATAGATTTTTTTTTTTTTTTTTTATCACACGTCGCGCGCCGTTTTTATTATTCTTCGTTTATCGAGATAAAATCGTTTTATCTTCTTCTTGATGATTTCGTCGTGCAACAACTGTCGCAAAACGATTACCGTTGTACCGGGTTCTGACGTGCTTGCGTGACGATTCCTTCGCGTGCGACGATGACGGCCGATTTCACGACCACGTCTCGTTTCGTTCGTGGTAAATATTGTCGAGAGAGAGAGAGAGAGAGAGAGAGAGAAAAATACGAATGTAAAAATAACCGGTTGGTATACTTATAGATGCACTGTGCGATGATGTTCGCGCTCGCTGCAATTGGCACGGCGTCCACCGCGATGTTTTAATTTTTTTATTTCTCGCCGGTTAAACGCCGCGGCAAACGACATTCCATAGTGTTCGTAACTCCGCGCAGACCCGTTCGTTGTTTCGATTGCGGGGTGCGGGTTTCACCGCTGCACGCGTTTCGGACGTCGAACCTTACGCTTAAAAAATGCACTGCCTCGGTTGACACGGCTCGCAGTGGCGTCGCGAACCATGATTTTCAGAAGCGGTGCTTCTGGAATTTAACCGTGGGAGGACGGGTGGTGGAATGTGATTTGGTCACTTATTGGTGAACTCGGTTAGGTGTATTGGAAGACAGCGGTCAAATTTGTATGGACCCTAAGTTTAAGGTTGTAGAGTGAACGCTAACATTTAATCGAATAGTGGGGGGGGGGGCATTAATAAATTGTTCTCTTCTATATCCTTTATAGTATTCGCTACGCCACCGACGGCTCGTGCAGTACTATGCAATCGTTCCGTTTTCGACCGCACCTGCGCTGGCAAACTGTGTGGGCCTAAAGCCGAGGCGGCGGGACGTGTTTCGACAGGGCTGAACGACAGTTATGAGCGTTAACAATGACGGCGAAAATTGCTTGCGAATCGTCGCTAAGGCAATATTATCAGCCCGTTTATTTTATTATAGGTTTAATAGCACTCCAAAACATTAATTGTTCGCACAGATCATACAGACAATCATAACGTAGTCTGTCCGTTACCTAATAGATGATAAAGATATCGAATTCCATACATTTACGCCCGACTCGAAAAAACCGTTTTTGTCAGACACCTCCATTCAACCATCAATCCACAAAGCATACGATTCGGTTTAGCAATAGAAAGTTCTCGTCAACCGTATCACGGAATACAATTTTCTACTATTTCGTCGAATCGACTTAAAAGTCGTCGATAACAACAATGACATTTTTAAACTATACTTTCTACTCTATCCAAAAATAAATATTGAGCTCTCACGGTAATGTTCATTCCGCTTCAGTGCAAACAGTGTCAAAACTTCTTTCGCATAGCAAACCACTGCTACGCACGCTGTGTTAAACGTGGTGAAGGACACCTTTTTAATGATTACTAGAAATCACAATCAGATCCTGTAAAGTGTGCATTATACTCAGGGCTATTACATTAAACGTAAACATAAATCCAGCAATAACAATAAAAACCGATGCATTTCATTATTCCGGCGTACAACCCGTTCCTCAAAACAACGCTCCCGACTTTAATTCAAAACCAAGTAACATACTATATACCAAACTTCGAGCCACTTCATCACCCGATCAATCAGTTAATATTATTACTAAGTTTTTTGACGATCTTAAATTAATACTTAATCCTCTATTACTTGCTCTAAGATCTCTACTTTATAAATGTTCTTTTAATATCATTTCTGTTCCATAAATATCACTCCGACCGTCGTACGTGTTTGTAAAATTAAATCTTGGTCATTAATTATTGAATGTGTTACGTCTATCTTATATTATATAATTTCACTATTTATTGATCTTGCGCTGTATGTACATGCCCACAGATAAACCATTTAAATAATTCTAATTGTGTATCTCATTATAATTTCTTTATCATAATTTATCATTTATTGTCATATATTTCAAATGATTTATTACATACTGTTATTTATATTTATAAGTTAACTTTATTGATCAATAATGTTATACCGCAAAAACCCTTTGAATACAAAAAAATATAATTATTCATTCTACTTTTGTATATAATAGAATATACTAGTAGGATACCAGTTCGTTGGTTCTTTCACCTTGGTATTTGTATTCTTACTTAAACGTCCGGATTTTTTATTTACGTTCGCCCAATACAATACCACCGAGCGGAATACAATCGATAATTTCGTACGGCCATGTATTATAATTATACGCACACTTCGATTTATCCTTTATCGGTTCGTTTACCCATAATGTTCGAGACATTTGCTAAGGTCTAAGCTATCGCAATCGTATGTATCCTAAGATCGATACATGACCATGTTTAACCATTATAGATACCTATACGTTAAGTATTGGTCGAAATCGTTCTGGAATCGTTGTGGGCGCAGGCTGAAAACACTCACACTTGTGTGCTCTCACTGGTCCAGCCAATGGTGTAAGAAAACACGTAGTCGATGCAAGAAGTTAAGATCATTATGGTGGACGTATGAGCGGATATGGGTAAAGTTTGGAGGGGTGGGCGAGTAAAAATCGTATAATCTAATCGGCCCACTGGAATACCGGGAGAGTTACCGGTGGGCTGATCGTTGTATTTTGCGACTATAAAGTTTTAAATTGACATTTTTCAGTTATAAAACAACTATGATTATTATAATGTATCACACAGTTATTTCTCGGGCCGAATAATTTAGCCGATACATTATAATATTTTGATATCAATAATAATATAATAACGTTTTTTAGTAGAAAATATATCAGTATAATCGTTAGACATTTAATACAAGGAAAGAATTCTGTATGACTGCTCTTATTTTTTATTTTTTATTTAAACTAAAAATATTAAAAAAAAAAAAAAAAAAAAAAAAAAAACTAGAAAGCTGAGTCCTGATCAGAATCATTGTTCGACGCTTCGACTTATGTTTACGTATTTAAATACAGTCGTTTCGACGACAAACCCGACACCGGCAGCGATTAAATTACTTATGATCAAAAAATGTTACGGACGTTCAGAAAGAAGGAATATTTGTTGATTTCGGTCAGTGTAATAATATTGGTGGTTTTTTTTTTTTATTCTCGGTTTGGAATACATTACAATATGGACCGTAAGTACATGATATGACAATTTCCCGACTGTTTTACAGATCGGTCGCACGTGTATTGAAATCTTCTTTTCTCGGTGGCCGCTGCAACGGACATAACAGTACGTCGCGTAACGTTTACGGGATTCGCGAGGGAAGATCGTACGTT